TATTACATCTTTAGTTGAGATATGAATTGAATAACTATTGTTCTGGATTGACAAGCATCTCATCCATGTGAAAAGGCTAATGTTTTCACGTGAACATGAGGCTAGTCAGTTGCTAGTCAGTGCAGGACAATAGATATTTGAATTGGTTGCCATATTTTGATTCGGTGTATAGGATTATGGGCTTTTATTCTCTTACCTGTCTTTTCCTCTTCTGCTTTCTCTTCAACCCCCTTCCTCCCTCTCCCTCTCCCTCTCCCTCTCCCTCTAGTTCTCTCTCTCTTTCTCTCCCTCTCCTTCTTCCTCTCCCTCTCCTATAGGGCTCCCGTTGATAGCAGTACTTTTGTTACTGAAGGGGATACCCTGCTTAAATAACGGTTTTCATTCATTCATTCCCCTAATGTGGTATCTATGTACATCGTTTTTGATTTTTTTCTTCCAGACCCTCCCAGATATCATGACATCATTGCTTGCCTTGCTACAGGTAAAAACGAGTTTCTCGATTGGTAATGTAATGTAATGTTTTCTCATTTCAAACATGTTAGGGATGAGATTCTTTGCTTGAGCTACGGCCCTGATTTATGTGTATTATCCAACGTATCCAGAAAACAAAGAAATCAGTACTCATGAGAACAGCACACTGCCTGAAATGGGAAAACATTACACAGGCTATAAGAGATGTKTGTTTATATTCAAATAATCACTATGATAGCTTGTCGTGCTCCAAGTCAACCTATCTCGTTACCTGCGAAAAGCTTTTGTTCAAGCAAAACAAGAGTTTATTGAACACAGTGAGTGAGTGAGGGGAGTGACGAGAGGTTGTCTGTCGCCCTTCAGCAGGGATATGCGTAGGGCAGCGGACTTTTGGAAACTCTATCTTATAACACAGCTGATGGACATGTTATGCGCTAGTTGCAGTTGTCTGTTATTCAATAGTAGTTTACAGCCCATTTCATGTTTCCTTGACCTAACTGACTCCAGGGGTACTTGCCATTTAATCGGAAGAACCAGAAATTCCGGTTTAAGAAAAACATTTATGTATCATTGCGATCGGAAAGTTCCGGAAAACTCGGTCATCCAATCGAGGTAATCCTTTTTTCCCGCCCTTTTCGGTTCTTTCGGTAGACGCGTGTACCATTTTTCGAAAGTCAAAGTTTCCCGCTCTTTCCTTACCATTAGCGAATAAATTTCCAACCGGATGGATTGGTTTAAATGGTAAGCACTCCAGACCTGTTAGTTGCCAGGTATAGGTGTTTCTTTCATAATGTTTTCCAGGCTCTTGATCGCTACGCCAAGTTTYCTACCGCTGGTTACCAGGCTTCTGCTATCCAGGCAAGGCCTCCTCGTCCACGTGGTAAAGAAGGAATGCGTTATAACCTGAGAGCAAGTGAGTAGATGATTTCTGTACTTTGCAGTACACGACACTTTCTGTTTGGACTCAATGAATGGCCCTTTTTAGCTTGGACGTTCCCTTTTCAGACGTGTGTTCGACAGAGTAACTCTTCTTCCACTGGATTCCAATCGGAATTTGATTTTTGCGGAGGGATAAGGTCGTTTGTTTAAGCTGTATCTATATTTATGTGTCTTCTCAAGCAAAACCGTTAAACAGAGAAATGATACTCTAGGGAATGACACGTGCTCTGAAATGGGAAAACATTGAACCCAATCTAAAAATCTCTACAGATACAGTAGCTTATAATAAGAGAGCAAAGCAAACATCTTCAATATTAATCTTACCTGTGCTCCCTTTGTTCCATAGCATTGGTCTCTTCTATCTATCACATTACTAACACTTTTGGCCAACACTTGAAGTAAGTACTACATCTATAGGTTATCACACAGAAGGCTGAACGGTAATGAAAATATTATAGTTAAGGAACGCGCACGCATGTCTCTACTGGGATATAAACACGTTGGGAGCTGTAGAGGAAGAACCGGAGAAGCAAGCTTTGGAACACCCTGCTCAGCCGAGTATTTCTCTTGATTTTCTTCGGCTTTTCTTTGAAAGGTTTACCACTCACAAACGACACCGAATCACGGAATCGAACCCAGGTAGCCTCGATGGAATGGAGGGGAAGACGTTTACATGCCGATGAGTAAAAGCTCATGCTTCACAAATTTCGGTGGTACGAGAAGGATAACTTCCTTCCTCCCTCCCTCCCTCCCTCCCTCCCTCCCTTCCTTCCT